AAGGAAGTGTGTGCAAGGAAGGGGGAAAGCAAAAGAAGGAGGAGGGGAGGGGGAGGTCTTTCCCAAACTGCTACATAAGTGTATTTTTGTCTCAAAACAATGAATTGTGGTTACTGGTAAAACCAGCAGTGTCCAATTCAGTAAGCCATTATGGTGCAACGTGTCCAAATTATCCAACAGCTATTATCTTGCCCAAGATAAAAATTAACATGTCTGGAAGGATTTCCATAGTAAATTTTTTCCTGGGTTTATGACACAGCTATAAAAAAAATAATTAATTGAACTATAAATGTACACGAGTTCAAGGACTTTTGTGGATTCTCTTAAAAAAAAATAAAGTAAAGCAGCAGTCAACATTTTTCTTACAGTACTTTTTGCCTAATACCTTTGCATTAGGCTCTGTTGTCTATACTATACAGTGCCACCGTGTATTATTGCATATCTCATCACACTATTTTAGACTTCAAGGCACTTCCATGCACCCCTGCATGGGATGCACTGGAGGAGCCAGAAGCACTTACAGCTATCTCACCATTGCTCCAATGCCACATATACAGCACCTTCAAACCAAGGCTGCCCAAATATGCTCTTAGACCCATGAAACATCTAATACCACACCACTGGGATGGAATCAGGACTGACTAGGTAGAACACAGCAAGAAGAAAGACTGAAAGACTACAGGAGAGGCATGTCAAGCAGATCCAGCTGCTGGCTAAATCAGTACAGTCCCCCCGCTCCACCACAGGCCATGTGTTCCTATCCCACTGCCCTACTTCCTGGCTGAGAAAGCTCCAATGCATGTCAGATCCTGCTCTGAGCAAGTGAATCTTCAGCTTCAGACTGTAGCAGTAGAGCATTTGTGCTCTTATTTTACTATCATCCACTATGAACTAATAGCCATAAAACTTGTAATAATTAGCTATTGTTTGTGAAGCAACTGCAGTTTCAAGATATCCCAATCAACACAGAGTAACTCTCCCTTCTTCTCCTCCTATACACACAGCTGTCAGGGGTTTCATTTCCTTCAAGAGGAATTATCAAGCTGTATGACTTGTTCTGTGCATATATATACGTCTATTTATAATAAGATTTTAGCCTGACCTCTCTCTTAGAAATTCAGATAAACCTCCTCAACAGAGTTCAACAAATTATTTTAAGATCTGAAAAAAGTATTACATGGATTTTATATGCTAGACCATATGCTGCGTTATTTGCTTCAGCATAATAGCACAGGCCAATAGAACCTGCAACACAAATCAATTTGTTTGCATCCCATCTAAAATGGGTATTTGCTCACGCAGCCATTCAGTGGTGTGTGTGGGATAAGATTGCACACTATTGCTATTAAGCCATGGCTGCTCCATGCTAACTGGCTCACAGCTTCATGTCCCCTGGAGTGTATACTGTCGCTAAGCTCCTGGCAGTAGCTCAGATGTGGTCTCTGAATGCTCGCCAGCATCTCATCCTAACTGACACCAGAGTCTATACTACTATGCAAGTTTCTCCAAGTCTGAGGATGCTGCTGTGTTCCAGGAAATTAAGAAATGAAAGTGAATAGAGAGCTGTCCGATTAGGAAGGTGGGTGGAAAACAGAGAGAAGCTTGAAGAAGAGGCTGGAATTAGGTTGAAGAGGCATGCAAATACAGCAGGAAGCTCTGCAGATTCTTGTAGCTATAGAAACAAACCACCAGCTATAGATTAGAGCTGAATACTGGGAAAGGAATATCCAGTTCCTGGTTTTACAGAAAATGATCACAGCAAATCTGTGTCCATGAGCTCAAAGTTAGTGAAGCAGTCTGATAACTGCTAAATCATCTGAGTAGTACCTATTAATGTATCTACTTCACTTTCCTTAACTGTTTCTGAACTATGTGCTTGCAAGGATAGAGGTCCATGCCTCCTGAATCATTCTGTGACTAAGGATAGATACTGAACAGCTTCAAGAAGAGGCATACACCATAGCTTCTGGCTTGAGGAGAACTTCAAAAACAATATTGGATTTTCAAAACTGGTAAGACTGTGGGCTCAGAACAAGGCAAAAGTCCTGGTGCAGTCCATAATGAAACAATTCAATTCTTACTTTGAGAAAAACAAACCAAAACAAACAGAAACCACTTATTGCCAAACAGCTTTAAAAACAAAAGCCACTTGAGAGAGTACAATTAAACCCATGTAAAATGCTGCCAACAGGAAAAAACCCAAGGCCTACATATGATCAACACCTTCCTTAAACAAAAAAACTGCTCTGCATGATCTTTGTTTAGCCTTCTATGTGTTTAAACATGCAAGAAAAGAAATCCCTAATTCTTCAGACTGCCTTCCAATAACAAAGTGCTGTATATTACTAATGCAGCCCCTTAACAGGCTTATAAAATCCTCAAGGCTCCTCTAACACCATTTGTGGTTGTTGCCCTGCCTGTTAATAGCACAGGAGGCTATTAAGTACAAGTTGTCTCATTCCATTCACTGAACATTTGCCTCAAGTTCTCAAAAATTCTTCTGTCACGGAAACATACATATACAAATAAACATGATTTCTCATTGCACCCTCAGACATAACCTCTAAGTGATGCTGTATCCCTTCTACTTAGGCATATCATCAATTGTACTCTCAAAACACAGGAAGGGATAAGCTCCTTACGGAACAGGTCCAGCACAGGCCAGTGTAAGAGGAATCTCCTTGCAGTGACTCAGACACATATTGAGCAACGGGGCTTCTGAATCCACAGTTTCATCTCCAAAGAAGTGAAATCCCAGCGGAAGTTCTCTGGGTGCTAATAGTATCAGGCTAGTACCAATTATGTTGAGCACTGGAAGCTAGGAGACCAGCTTTTTGGATCACAAGCTGAAAAAAGCCACGAGACAGTGGCTGATTTGTTCATCCCTGTGGGCTATATTTGAACTGATGAGTCACCATGTCTGTCTTACTAATAACTCCTTCAGCTAGCCATTTCAGCCCCCTTCTCCAACCTCCAGAAGTCTTGAGAACTCAACCATTACTCTACACACACTTCAAGATAAAAAAATCCCACTACTGTTGCCAGAAAACACAACTAATTCCACCACTTGGAACATACACAGCTCTTAACTTTTAAAAGCTTTGTAAAATCAAAGAACAGCCACCGTATTGCACAAAATGGTATGTGGATTCCTTACAACAGCAACTTATGATGGCCTTTGGTCACGTTTTCTCCTGTTGAAGGCATTAAATGTCCACATCAGAAAAGCACTGATCACTACATGTACTTCTATAATACACCATTAAAGCTATTCTGTTTCTCAAAATTTTGCAATAACCTTCTTCATTCTAAAGCTTTTCCTCTTTGGTCTCAAGATGCTTCAGGAATCTCTTCTGTTACTCTGAATTATATCTATAAAAAGTTATTCTTTGAAGTCTTTCTTATTTTCTTGCCAAGAACTCAAAAATAGCTGAACAAAGCAAGCAGCTACAAAATTAGCTCTCCGTAAGGAAGCATCTGTGCTGGTTTCGTTTTCTTGGCTTTCTGGGTGGGGAGGGACATAAAAAAAATGGAAAAAACTGGGATGAAGCAGAAAAAAACCCAACCAAACAAACAAAAAAGCAAACCCAAAAACCACACTGAGGAAGATCTGCCAAGACACAGTACAATGACGTGTTATGAAGTTCCATCTCTTCTAGGACATGCTTAGTGAAAGGGCCTGAAACCTCCCAGCTTTAATTGATCAGAGGTCCAAAAGGAATTGGCAATAACATTATCAAAGCCTGTCTCAACGCCTTGATCAGCCATCTAATGCCAAATCTTAGAAACATTTCCTCTCCCAAGCACAGCCGCAGGGAGGGAGTCTGGAGGGGTATCAAATAAACGGTCCTTCTCATATCAAAGGCTCTCTCAATATTTGCAGTATCTTGAAATTTCTAAAGGGTCTTTACTTTTGCTCTTACACTAGAAATATGGCCACTGTGAACTAGTGTGCATCACTCTAATAGTAGCTAGAACTAAAATTGCAGAATTGTCACCCCAGATGGTGAAGGATTTCACCACCCACATATGTGCATCTTTGCCTTGGAGTGGCATATGAGAGTTACAGAAAGTGATGGCCATACGCATCCGGATAACTGGCATATAGCTACCCAATCTTCTCATTTTACAGTAGTTCTTGGCAAGCATACTGGGAACCTGGTTTAATTGCAAATTAACAACATACTTGTCTTTGGGGGTGGGGTGGGAAAGGGTTAATCTTTTAATTAAGCAGTTCCTGCAAAACAGAATTAAATATGAAACATTAACTTTACAAAACATGAGTTTCCTCTCAATCTGTACCCAAGCTAAACCAGCAGGAAAAATATTTTATTGATTTTTGACTCAAAACAGGCAATGCTATTCCTAACAAGAGCAGACTCCCTTCTCGGTTTTTTCCTGAGCAGTTTACAGGGTGATTAAACATACAACCCAGTAAAACTTGGTGGGAAGACTCACACGAACGGAAACTTCAGTTTCTCATTTGATACCTACTGGCCAGGATATGTGGGCAATGGAATAATTTCTTTTTATGGGACTCAGATTAAGCTGCAAACTTGATGTTATTCCAAATAAGAAAGTAGCAGGGAATGAATACACCAATACCACCCAGCTGAAAAGTCCCAGATTTACCTGTGAAACATACACACAAATGGAATATAAGATTTAAATACAAAGCAATATCACTGGAACAGCCATGTTTAGGGGCAGCTCAACAGTAATCCAGATCTCTCATTTTAAATAGTATCGGTGAAATTTTATGTTCCCATGTGATACTTTTTTCCTAATAAGTGCTTCTGAAGAGACAAGACATACAAGGGCTATGAGAGACAGTACAGTTCTGAGGCCTGATTCTCCAGTCTTCCCACTGCATAGCAAGTAGCATGTGATTAACTCACAAGTCACCATAAAAGAAACCATCACTCAAGGTGAACAGCAGTTGCAGAATCTGGCCTGAGAACTGTTTCATATTCTGGAAGTAGATCATGAAATAGTCTTACCTCAGTAAGTGCGTGCAGCTGTCCTTGATGCACACAGACACCCATAAACCTACAAGAAACAAGAAAAGAAAAGTGGTTTGGGCTTTTTTCCCCCCCTCTTTTTTTTCTTTCTTTAAAGAAACTGAGATAATAAGTAGTGCTGGATATGCCATGAAAGAAAGAGAGAGAAAGAAAAAAAAAAATCAGCCCCACAGATACTGTATACATCAAGACATTATTTAAGTATCTCAGCACAAAACAAAAGTCATTTGTGTACACTACAATATAATTTGAATTAGCAGTTCCAAGAGAGGACAGGAGACATTTCAAACTCAAGATGGAAAGTTACTAATTTGACAGTAAGCAAAGGCCAGCATACAATGATTTATACAGAGAGGAACAGTCTCAGAGTTCTGTTTTAAGGAAGTTTAAGCCAAGTAATCCACTGTTGGTCTGCATAAGTAGAAAATTACTTCCCTTTGCATTTTGCTGCTTAAGCATAAAGATGTTGCTTCCTATCCCATTCCTAACCACTCAGGAATATGAGGGCACATACATGCAGTATGCCTCCCCAACCCCCCACTTCCAACATTTGAATCAAAGCTAGTTTCAATAGTATCCAGTGTACACACACTCCACAAAAGCTACCTACACTGCACAAGGTTCAGACTCCTGCTGTTAATGGTAATGACTGTCACCCTTGATTCTTCTGGAAAAGCTACAGAGAATACATCATACATTTGATTTCATTTCAGGAACAACTGAGAGCTCATTTGTACCACCATACAAGCTGAACTTTAAGTGACAAAATGCAAATTATTATTAACAGTAAACATCTCCCATAAGAGAGTTCAGTAAAACTTAAATTATATGCACTTGAGAGCACAGTTAAAGTATTGGGTCTTTTCAGATTAACTAATTTTCAGTTTTATCATTTAGATTCCAGTGTCAAGAAGCAAAACACACTGTCTGTCATTTCCACAATGTTCAGAAATTTCCATTTTGCAAGCAAGTAGTAGAAATGCATGATTTCATTAAGTGTGACAGGAGAATCTTGTGGAGAGGAGTTTGAAAGAAAAGAACCTTTTAAATCCTCAAATACTTCTGAATTTAAACCCAAACTGATGCAAGACACATGTAGTACTAGTTCAGCTAAGCTGCTTTTGAGGAAATGAATGATCCTCACTGTTCTCTTGTCTAACAGCTGACTGGTAAATTACAAGCAACCAAAGAACAATAATATAGGTAAGGTCCTTTGCATAAGCTGAGCTGTGGAAATCTGTTTTTATAACCAAATAAGAAGTAGGACTTGTACTTGAGTGTCTGTTGCCTGTACCCGCTCTACTATCTTCCCCAGACTAAATATGCAAATTTTAGTTGGAGAGGCAGTGAAAATATTTGTTTAATGAAGAGCAATAGGGCATGACCAGGTATCCAGGGGAAAGAGAAGAAAGGTTCCTTTAGATATAGCATCTACTCAAAACATTGCTGTTTCTGAGTTTCACTTCATCCAGCAACTGCGTATGAACAATTCTGTAAACAAGTTGACAAAGACTAAGAAATCCAGACTCTTCAAGAGCAGAAATCTGTTCCTTCCCTAATGAACTCTGAAAGTCTGCAAAGCTATCACACATGGTCTTAATAGCTTTATTCACAAGTAAGCCTGGGGGAAAAAAAGGTTTTTTTTTTCCTTTAGGTATGAGTTTCACTTAGACATTTTTTGAAAGTATTATTTTCTCTTTAAAGAGACATGTGAAAGCACAAGGTTAACCCAGTACTGCAGTGTTTCCATTGAACAAAAACTTAGGCTAAGTAATTAAAATGAATGTTTTCATCTCTAGACCTACTCTTTCTTCGTAACGGTGTATCACATTACTTTCAAATCAGGAATTCATTGTATTTGACCTAATTCTAAAATATGAATACAGTTATGAATTTAAGAAATTTAACCTTGCCAAAATTTTGATGTCTCATTTTTACCAAGCAGGAAAATCATCACTGTCACACAAAGACTGGTAAAACTTAATTTTTTCTGCCAACTCTGAATGGAAACATATTCATTACATATGCTTCAGGCAGAAAAGACACACTGGCTCAGGTTACCAAGAGTAAGGGTTCAAAAATTCTTAAAGGTTTAGGGTTTCTACAGGGAAACAGACATACATTTCTAACTTTAAATCAGAAATTAAAAACAAAGCTCAATATCACGATCTCGTGGAAAAAAGCTGGACATAAAGATGCATTTAAAAACCCCACATATTTAGAAGTTATTACCCAGGAAAAGAGAAACCAGATACACTGATAAAGGCAAAATTAATGAGTTTACAAGCAACATATTGAAACAATTTAAACTTTGTGTCAAGAATCTCTGTTTTCAGACTCTGGAAAATAGATTGCTAGAATAGACCTCTAGTGATCCAAATTCCTGGAAAACTTCACTGCTATATCAAGCAATAATAAGCCACTGGTTAAGCCAAGAACTGCTACAAAACATTGTTGGAAAGGATTTTCACTAAATGATAATACACGCAGCTGCTACCAGGAAATACAATTTAACGTAAGATTTCAGTTTCTGAGATTGCCGCAGATGAGATTCCAAGTTCTGTGGATAGGAAGCTGACCTGCTGGTCCTGTAGAACTGAGATGATTCCTGTTGGCTAGACACACCGACTCCAGAGCCAAAATGTGCTTGTAGGTGAACTTCAGCAGAATGCCTTGTCAGCCAAAGGTTACACTTCCTATAAGTATTTCTAGCTGGAAGAAGCTTCAGTGAGCCAGTCATCCATAAAACAGGAGACCATTATGCAGATTTAAGGAAGTTTATTTTCAAGACAGTGTATCTGGCCTTATCAGGAAAGCTGAAGCACTTCAAAAAATCAGAACTACTGGTTGGAAAAATTTCCCCAGAAGCTGCAAATATGGAGGATGCTCTTTGAGTTCACCTTTCTAAATACAGTGCAGCACATTCCCACCACAAAATGCTTTCTAACGTATGTCAGCAATGTTCAGAAGTCTTTCCATAAACCAGGTCATTCCTGGTTTACCTGCTCTCCTAGACAAGAGCAAGGTCTGGAATACCTTCCCTCCCAGACAAGAGCAAGAGAAGGTACCCTGGATATTTCCTAGTGCATTACAGCTGTTACCAAACTGCTTTCAGTTCAGGTAACAGCATTTTCAGACTGCTTTTCAGTCAGACTGACAGAGAGAAAACTCTAGACAGGAAAGGGAAGACTAAAAACTGTAGCCTCAGTCCGCAATCTCTGCCCCCTTGATAAATCAAGCAAAACTAATATCCAGATTATACAGCCACTGTGGACACCTAGACATTGAACACATGCTTCCCATTAAAAGAACTTCACTGGAACATGTTCCTGTCGTGTGGCTAAACCTGGGGCAGCTACAGTCAAACATAATAAATTCTTGTCCTCTGAAATCTACTACTTGCATGAGAAAATTCAGCAATTTGATTATAGCATTAAACATAAGAAACAAACCAAACACACCAAAGCAGAAGTCTCTCATATGAGCTGAGTAACACAAAGAGAAGGTCAAAAGGCACACGCTTATTTCATTGCACTGATGGTTAGAAAAGGAAGAGGGTAAGAATACTAAGTCTGCACTAAGACCCTCAAAGTTTTAGGCACCACGCTAGATTAAAAAAAGTATTTTAAATTTTCTACATTTGCATTTTGATGCTACACAGAGGCAAACATCTAATCCATCCTTTCTGTAACATATACACAACACATATAACCTCTCCTTGCTGTCTTGTGCTCAGCATTTCTAAAATACTCCTTTTTGACTAACCACATTACACATAGAATTAAAAGTAGTTTTCTGTTACATCACTGTTCAATACAGGACAAAGGATGTTAAAAGACAAAAGCCATCCTTCCAACTACTGTTACAAAGTCCCTCACAAGTAATTTCACAAAAAGGAAGGATTCAAAAGGAGAAAACTGCACAAAAACCCCCCACCAACCTAGTATTGTGTTCCTAGGGTGCCAGATTTGTCTGAAAGGAGATGAAATCCAGTTCTCCTTGAAAGAAGTCCACGCAATATGCACGCTGCTTATTTGTGTGTGCGCACACAAGAAGGTGGATTTAATCATGAGTCAATCTGCCTGCATGCTCATTGCCAAACACACAGCAATACCTCCAAGCGCTCCCACGGGAGCACTTAAGACATGAGCTAAGGTTTTTTGTGTACCGAATGTTTTAAATGAAGTCCCCAAGGTACAGATCAAATGAAGAAATACTTTTTCATGCAAACACTAGTGATATTAAAGACTGAAAATCTATCTCAAAATTGAAGATACACTAATTTAAGAGACAGCAGAGATGGAGAATCTGTGAAAATGAGAAAAACACACCTGTAAGACATTACCCCAATGAAAAGGTATCAGGTCTCTCAGACTGTGGCCCTAAGGCTCCCATCCTAGGATACAAGGACAGAGATTTATTGAGTCCTTTCCAGCCCCATTTTCTTACTTTGATTTGGGTAAAATCCAGTGACTACAGCAGGACATCAGCATTCAGGGAAGCAGCAAAGCAGTAAACGTTGTAAGCACACACTAGACCTTTCATAACCTTGGTACCAGACCTAACCCAAGCCTTAAACAGCACTACACTTTAAATGGGACACAAATAAGGAAGTGAAGAAATGCTCCAAACCTGTTTTCCCCAACCCCAGCAATTACAGTCTTGCTCTGTACCAACCAACCTGTACTAAAACAGCTACAGTAAACATCTCATGGTACAAATCAGAGCCCCACCTTGCTTTTCCATTCCTGCCCTCACCATCTTTTTTGAGGGGAGATGTGACAAAACCAGCACATCCCACACTCAGGGCAAGGAGAAGTGTAGATCAGAGGCAGAAAAGCCTTTTAGCCCTCCATGTTTAGCTTGTATGCCAGAGTGACATGGAGATAGGAGATGAGGTTGATGGTAGAAATGGAGCAGAACACTCCAGGAGCACCACTAGTCTGCCTTTGCCCTGTTCATTCCTAAAATGTCCCTAAGCTGGTCCCTGGGGAAAAAAACCAAAGCAAAACAAAAAAAACCCAGCTCTTTCATAGTTTCTTATGACCACCAGACAGAGACTGAACAAATAGTCGTTACATTACAGTTAACATCTACTCCGAGTCTGGAATCACACCTGCTAATTGAAATAGGAAGCCAGAGGGAGACAAACAAAAAACCTCTAAACCCCTTTACTTTTTACCATCATGGCATTGAGCTGCAAGAGACGGAGTCTTCTATTCCAACATCTACTTAACAGACTGACAAGGTGGTTTCATTTTTGCCAAAATAATCCCCCTAATAAAGAGCAGTTTCTCATTTTCTTGATAGATATATGCATATATTTGATCGCTAGAATCCTTAGGATGTATGGGAATGGAATACTTACTGGGGACTTGGCAAGTGAAAACTAAACTCTTCACTTAGATCAGTCTTCTGATCAAGACAGATCTACATCGCTGCCAGGAGTAATTTAAGCACAGAAATACTGAAATGAGTAGGGATAGTTAAAGTCAGCATTTCACTCCATGCCCAGAAACACAAGTTATTTTAAAGCCTAAATAACCAGATTGATACTTCAGGTATTAGAAAAAGAGAAACTGAAACACACTGACACAGCTCCATCTCCTAAAGTAGTATAAATGTGTCACTAACACAGACCTGCCTCTAGGTAATCTTTACCAAGCCAAAAAATGTAAGTAAGTCAGCAGCTACTGACAAACTCACATTCCAGAATGGTGATTGCAAGCTGGATAAAAGCTTCAAATATCATCTGTATTTGAATGTGAAAATCAGTTGATATGGACAGCACAGAAACAAAAGCAGTTTTAAATAGCCAGCAACATTTATTCTTCAGTCAGTGCAATCAATGGCAAAAATATAAGAATCTTTGCAATAACATCTTGAAGTTAAGCACGGGCACATTGGAATTGATGGCTTGCAAAAAATTGCTATGCATTTTGCAGCACTGGCAAAGGGATGGGTTTTTTAATCATCCAAAGGATAATGATGATCTTTGACCACCAAATACACTACTAGGAAGAGAAATCTCTTCTTTCTTCCGTATCACTTAGCTCATATAAAGTAAGCGAGACTTCTAGGACAAAAACACTGATTCAGTTGCAAATTTTAGGTGCCAAATCATCAGGATGTTCAAAAACATAGGTACATACCCACATTAAGGACGATTTCAGTATACTAAGAGAATTCAGCATCATTGCTGAATCTGACATTCGCTTTCTAAAACATTAACTGACTGAACTGCACGTGTTAAAATAGGTTAAGAGCAGATTTTGGATACCATAAACCCAGTATCTGTGCAGTTTTCTAATTTTACAAGCCATTTGGTATCAGAGCACCTGTTACAATTAACCACTACACAACATGATCTCAACATTTCAGCCTAAGAATCCAGTAGCATCCTTACTGGCAGACAACAGATCAGCACTAAGGCAAGTAACTTGTTTACAGCGTAAGTTAACAGTAGGTAGTCTCAGAACTTTACAAGATGAAGAAGCATAGATATATATACTATATAAAATCAGAGTAGACCTTCAAGACATGTGGAGGAGATCCAGTGATCAATAAACAATATAAACTTGATGCTAGTGACAAAATGGCTTGGAACATAGAGGAAGAACTTCAAAGGACAGAAATTAAGTGAAGAAAATAACATTGAACAGCCAACTGAGGTAGCTTATAGTCCCTGGAAAGGGGAAGTTACACATTAGAATTTCTTGGAAGAGGATCATTCCCTTTAAATACTAATACAGGCTTAAAATTTCCAAAAATAATCCCAGAAAATGTTTCAGTAGAACACTTTCCCAGTGACCTTTCAGCAATGCTACTGCAGCTGCTCTTATTTGACAACATGAATTTTTCACCTTTCACTACTATACCATAAAAGCTAATTATTATCTAATATTATTTTTAATGTGTTTCTGAAGTGGGAAAGAAACCATAAGCTAATTTACAACAGTAGTAGAAGCACCTATGATTTATTGGTTTCTGAAACAGAAATACAGATTTTTGCATGCATGTTTGTGTATGTGTATATATATATGTGTATGTATATGTATATGTATATATATACATACACAGACCTACATATATATATATACACACACAGAGAGGTATGTATATATACATACACATATGTATATAAGTGTGCATATATCCACATATATATATAAACAGGCGTATATACACACACACATATAACATATGTACATACCTGTATATACACTTGTATATTAAATGTTACCTGCCTGTGTGTAACATTTAAAAAGGGCAAAATCTTCTCCCAGATATAAAGGGACTGGAAACACTGCAGCTGAGCGTTTTAAACGAAAAATAAAATGACAACTAACACACAAAACCAGCAAGTTACCTGCTACAGAAGAAAAATAATAGTTTTTACTGTGTATTATTATTTAATAAAAGAATAAACTAAAACCAAATAGGGTTTTTTCACTTGCATTTTCTATAGGAATGTCCTTGCTCCCTGCAGCAAGGGTACTTACCTAATACATAAGAAAAAGCCAGTATTTTTTTGCCAGAGAACCAACTCTCTTTGAAGAAGCCTCAAATCAAACAACCCATAAAGCAATTTTATTCTTCAAAACAAATTATTCAAAGATAAACCATTTCTATTTAAGTCCTTTATTTCTGATGTATTCTCTTATAACTGCTTAGTTGAGCACATGGGAGGGAAAATTAAAAAAGATTTCTCTATCAATCCTGTGTAATAACTGTGAAACCAAATGGAATTCCTTTTCTGCTTCATGCATAAATCAACACATTATTGTTCTTTCTTCAGGACCATCTGTGCAACACCACTGACTTCAAATTATTCATAGACTTCAAGGCCAGAGGGGACCGGTATATATATCATCGATATGATCTCTTAGACATCATAAGACATTTAAATTTCAGCAATTACTCAGAACTGAGCACAACTACTTTTGTTCTCAGCAACACTTGTGTAACTCCATTCAAGGCAGGGCAGGGTTACATTAAGCTGCGACTGGATTCTTTTTGCCTGTCAAACAATCCCTTTCCTACATTCCCTCACCCCAGCCCAAATGAAATACTTTATTTTGAAGAGAGTTGTAAAGCTAGATGGTTTTTCTTTAAGTAAGGTTTACAAACCACACGAAGTTGGTAATGAAACTGATGTCATGTAGTGACTTCATGATTCTGACAATGCCAATCCCAGAAAGTTATTATTTCTACAAACCTTACTAAGAAAGCAGATGTATCAGTTCCCCATGATCATATGCTGCTTATCTAAGGATTCTGAGGGAAAGAAGTGGTGGATAGCTATAGGAAACAACTAATGATCCTGAAACCTAAAATGCCAGATACCTGACATCATTTAAAAAAAAATAAAAAAAAAAAAAAAAAAAAAAAACCAAAACCAACAACCCCAAAACAATCAGAAGAGCCAGAGAAGCTGCTGGGATCTCACCTCACCTTGGAAAAGAGAAAACAGACTAAGAATTTTGATTAGGAGCAGACTACTACAACACTTGAATAAATATACTGTGATAAAACCAATACAGTTTACCATGAGTAAAAGTTATCCAAGTTCACAGGCTTTAAGAAAAAAAGAAAATAACAGGAAATAGGCATGAGGTAATGGATTGCTCCCTACAGATAATCCAAGTGCTTCCAATAGGTCTCCTCATAAATACTGAGAGAAACAAAGAAGGTAATATTGTCACACATCAGCTAACAAAGACTGAGCCAGGATTTCAAGGATCAGAAAAGTTGGAAATAAAGGATTTCAGGAATCAGTACTATGTCTGTGCTATTTAACAGACTGGTGAAGAATAAGAAATTCAGTTACTTAAAGTTCACTGCGTCCCCAAAACTTTTCAGAAAGAGCTGTACTCCCTGAGACTATCAAAATGGAGCTGGTTATTTGGTGCACTGTCATCACACCTTAACTTCTTAATATTATGGCTTCAGCTAATGATATTCACTGCTTGTCACATGATAATAAGAAAGCAACCACAACTGAAAAGATTCACCAAATAACAAGATACACATTGAAACATTTGGATGTGCATCCAGTAATCTACTGAGAAACAAGAACTACTTTTTTTTCTTTCAAGAGCAGATAAATCAAATCAGTTCACCTCTACCTTCTTTTCTCGAGTCCCTCTTATCCCACCTTACAATACTATAATAAGAAAATGCTAAAAAGTAGAAATTGAACAAAGATATGAGGAAGCTATGGTACTTTGCACTGTTAATCTGCAAGATCAGTAATCACGGATTATTTGAGTAGTAGATCTGCAATACTTTAAATTCAGGAAAAGAAGCAAAATTTTACTCTTCATATTTTAATGATTCATTTGAAATTTATAAGGTGAAAACTTGTTTTTCTCTGAAATAAGTTACTCATTACTGGTAAACTCCAGATACCAAAATCACATGGCTTTTCAATTTGCTCTTTTCTTCTTCCTCCCCTTCTTCCATTAAGTTAGAAGCTGATCCTAACACATTCACAAAAAATACAGCTATAACAAAAATAAGTAAGTAAAAATTAGAAACAGGACAGCTCTAAAGGCAACCTGTCTCTATACGATTCAGGAAAAAGCCAGTGTACCTTAAGATGTTCGGATGTGAAAGTCTATTCATAAGTTGAACCTCTTTCAGCATGTTTGCTCTGTTGCTGTTCAGTGTGTTCATCTTCAAAGCCATTACCTGGTCTGAAGTTCTGTGCCTTACCTATAGGATGCAAACAAACAATAGTAAGGATATGAAATGCGAGACTGAAAAAACAGTAATATTGTAGTACAACTTAAAGAGATCCTTCATGACAAATGACTTAATCTATATTCTGATTTCTGTAGACTTTATCATACAGATGACTTTCTATAAGCATACTATCCAAATGTATTTTACTCTTCTCTTGCAACCAGTGATGATAGAAAGCTTGAGAAGATAGAAAGGAAAAAAAAAACCCAAAACCCACACACAACAAAACAAACAGCTTCTTAGAAGCAGACATTTATTTGTCCAGGGAGAGAAAGTTTCCTACTCTAAGACCTATGAAACTCACCTTCATTCCACCTATATCCCTCTTCTTTCCCACCTGCAGTGTTCAGTGTCATTGTTCCACAGCCCATGTTATGAGAGGACCTGCTGGTTACAGCTACAGGGCACATTTCAGAGGTGTTCAATGTTCATTTCTGAACCAAGACTACATACCAGATTATACATTCAGTCGACAAAAAACATTCATAGCAACCCCTGCTGCAAAGAAGGAACGTTACTGGAAACAGTACCACCTAGTCTAAGAGGTTAGTAGTGGTTGCAGAGTGTCCACATGAAAAACAGGATTTCCTCTAGCAACTGCACAGAACCAGCACACCATTCAGAGTTACCTTCCCCAGTCAGAAATATATGATTGAGGCTACTTTTAACCTGATACTCCCAAACTAGCCCGTCTGTCATCAGCAATCATACCAGTATGATGTAGATGTGTGCTGCTATTAGAAAGGAGCAGTCACTGTAGTGTAAGGCTTGCCAATCATTTGAATCTCCTTGCAGCTGGGCATTCCCACATCCATACTGGTAGCATTCACGGAAATTGTGTTCCCACTACTTTCTTCCTACATTGGTAGCTGCAGCTCCTATCTGTGTACCTCTCAAAGCACTGAACTGCCACCATGGCAAATTAATTCATGGGATTTATTTATATAAATAAATTATAAACTAATTTATGGAAATTAGTTTAGAAAAGTCTGTTACGCAAGAATTTAAGACTCTCATTAGCTTTCTAATTTGAAACAGAAATCTACGCTATGCTGTAGGTACATACGAACTACCTACACTTCGAACAACGGCAACCTGCCTCCTTTTATTCCAAGAGACATTGCTCTTCTTTTCCAACAAAAAGCTTTTTTAGCTGTGATATGTGAGCAACAGAAAGAACAGTTGAACTCAGGATAAGCAGATGCAAGAAGAAAGCTGGGTATGTTTTTTGGAGGAGAGTCCCACTGGTAAGTCAGAGGCAGCAACCCATTTTCAAGTTTTATTTGCACACCATACATGTGCAAACTGGGGTGTATTTCGGCTAAACATTCTCACCTAGAGACAAAGCACCATGAATTCAGCACAGAGATGTGCTGGGAGGAAAGAG